TGGTTCTCCTAACTACTCATTTTTTTACTACTGGTTCTGTAGGCGTGGCTTGGTGGGCGTGACATGGCTTGGTGGGCATGGCTTGGTGGGTGTGGCATATCTTGGTGGGCATAGCTTGGTGGGCGTGGCAGGGGAAGGATACTGTAAAATCTCCATTCCCTCCCCACTCCAGGGGAAGGTTACTGCAAAATCCCCATTTCCTCCTGATCAGCTAGGACTCAGGAGGCAGAGAATAGATGGGGACGGGCCCAGTCAGAGGTGATATTTACCGGTTCTCTGAACTACTCAAAATTTCCGGTTCTCCAGAACTGGTCAGAACCTGCTGAATACCACCTCTGCTAAAAAGGCTAAAAGCAACATTCTGCTAGGTAAATGTAAAGTTTCCCCTCGCATATATTTTCTAGTCGTTCCCGACTCTAGAGGGCGGTGCTCATCTCCATTTCAAAGCCAAAGAACTAGCGCTGTCCAAAGACGTCTCTGTGGTCATGTGGCTAGCATGGCTAAATGCCGAAGGCGCATGGAACACTGTTACCTTCCCACCAAAGGTGGTTCCTATTTTTCTGCTTGCATTTTTTACATGCTTCCGAACTGCTAGGTTGGCAGAAGCTGGGACAAGTAACGGGAGCTCACTCCGTTATGCGGTGCTAGGGATTCAAACCGCCTGATCGACAAGCTCAGCATCTTAGCCACTGAGTTACCACGTCCCTCTATAACATTTTACTAGATAAAACATTTCACCTGGATAAACCAGAGAAGTCAGCTTCTTCTTCTTCACATCTTTCATCCAGCTCCTTCAATGCAAGAGTAACATCCTCTTCAAAGATGGATTCAGTATAAGTCTCGTTAGTCGGATGCTCTTGAATTTCAGGAGCTTCTTCTAGTTCTAAGGGTTCTTGGCAGACTAAGGACTCAAACTGTTCTTGCAGTGCAATTGATCCAGTATCTTCACTAGCGGTACTCTGTTCATCTTTCACTGATGAACTGCCATCCTGGAGGAGAAGAAACATTTTTTTAAATATTTCATTTTGAAAAACATGTATAAGTATTTGAAAAGATTTGTGTATATGTTGTTCTAAATTAAGAAATTCAAAAAAGTATAAACAATGTTATTTGGTTCTGAAAACGGTGTCACTTAATGTTTTACAGTCTCAGGTTAAAAAGTCCTTCCTTGTTCAATATTTTTTAATAATGTTATTAAACATTACAATTAAGGAGATAAAACTAAAATGAATTAATTAAAAAAATAAAAAAATTGTTAACCAAATTTATGTATCAAATTTAGCAACGATTACCAGAAATGACTGGTATTTTAACCTTGATCAAATAAACCAACATTATATTCCTTGTTTTAACTTTTAACAATCTTGATATTTAATCCCGTCAAACTATGTTGTAGAACTTGATTTTTCCCCATTTTTTTTCCTCACAAAGTTCTTCAAAATTTTTGAAATCTCTTTTGATCTCCAATCTAGGAAAATTATCCAGACTACTCTTTTGATATTGGTATGCCCCTTTTAATTAACACATCGGCTGGTTCCATTTGTGTATCCAGTATAGCATTTTTGCATATTATTCTAGTAGCCTGTCATTTAAAAATCTACTTTGAGATCAAAATTTTAGTTTTTTTGGGGGGGGAAATCCTTTGTCAAAATTATTCAGTTCAAACATTGAACTCTTACATCTATTCAGAATTAAGCTCAACTGAATTCAGTGAGATGAGTTTTTGATGAAAGAATAAAAAGAGCTAGAGCTTAAGATGACTAGCTGTATATATAATTACTACCTAGTCAAATTGGAGTGCTGTAGGGTAGAAACACTAAGAACTCTAAACCAAAGCAGAACACAACTTGCCAGTGATTCAACAATGGTATGGAAGGAGATAAGAGTAGCAGTTGCTAGTTTTTGATTTTGAGATGGGTGTTAGAGTTGGGGAGGCACAATGAAATATGTCTCCCCTCCTAACTAGCCTTCTGGAAAATGCTGAAGATTCCCCATTTGACCAGATATTGGGAGTCAGAAGTTAGTAAGACCCAGGTGATGTATTGCTATTTTGAGGTATTTTAAATTCTTGGCTACCATTTCTTTTTCTTTGTTTTTATGTTGTGTGTTTTTTTTAATTAGTTACTGTATTTATATTATTTTAAGTTTAAATTCTGTGTGCTTTGGAGAGAGGATTGGCCATATAAATAAAATAAAATAAAATTAATCCTCCTCTAGCTGTCAGTGGAAGTGAATCTATTAACAGTAGATACTGCAGGTCTAAATTTTCCTTTAATAGAACTTCTGTAGGTTTCCAAAGCTTGAACTTCACAATCTTGTATAAAGCACCTGCACAGGAGTACAGGGAAGAAAATCCAATATTTGATTTCTCCTGCCAAAACAGCCTCTGGCATGCTCCAGGAAATTAAAGATTGCTAACTTAATCCCTTCTTCTCCCCCCCCCCCTTTCATAGCTCTACCTACACACACACAAACATTCATTATCTCATTGTTATTCAGTAAATAGAGGAAAACGAAGTATCTAAAGCGTTAAATTTTGTGTTGAAAACTGTCTGAGATTGAATGTTGTTTCTTTAAATGAATAGTAATTGGTTGAATGCAGAGGCAACATAATAATCCTAAAGTATTTTGCATCTTTTGGCATCATACAAGATTACCTTTCCCTGCTAGCTCTTAAGTCATCATAGGTAATAGTAAGGGATGACAGCAACTGGAAGTCCAGTATCTGGAGGTCTGCAGATCCTCCACTTTGGTTCAATGAAATATGTTTAGTGATTACATAAAGATCACAAAAAAGAACCTGTAGTTCTGAGTTATGTGCCTTAATTCACGTACGTAAAATGTAACAAACGCAGGCCAAATAGTATTGTATGTACATTTAGAATACGTTTTGAATGATTTATATAACACATGTTATAGCAGACATAAGTCAGGGCTCACATGTTGCTTTCGAATTTTTCCATTTTTAAACTGTGCAAAATTCTATCCTAAATCTTAATAAGCTGAGAGTTCTCTTGACTACAGTCCCATGATCACAATTCTATTTCAGGAAATGCTGATAACCACCATATTTTTTAAAAAAATGTCTTTGAATAACATGCACACATTTAGTCCATCTCAAAATAAGAGCCATGGTACTTATTTTAGACTTCAAAGGTACTAGAGAAAAGGCCTATGAATGCTTAAGAGCTGAAATACTTAATTACAAACACACACACACACACACACACACACACACACACACACACAAACTTAAAAAAAATGTAAAATGGGGATCACTGCTCTGAGTGTCTGATGGAAATGGTAAATACATACGTAACATACTCACTGATNTCTCGCTTAGCAACCTACATTTTGGGCTCAGTTGTGGTTGTATGTCGAGGACTACCTGCATCAGTTTATTATTAGTCTCCAAAGTTGACTATAAAGATGAACATTAAATGTTAAGGGAGGGGAGACCATGTAGCCCACATGCTCCTTCAGGCAAGGGGGAAAACCAGTTTTTACTAGACCAAAGTAGAATCAAAAGAATAATAAGTTCCTGAAACAATTTTTTTTCCTGGGGTTTATTTTACGTGATTTTGCTTTTGCATAGCATCCATTATTCAGAATACCAGAATATTGCAGTGCCACTCTTTTTTTTTTAAATGCAGTTTGATGGACAGGCACTTGAATGACCTCTGTCTGTCATTCTTATGCAATAGAAACTCTTAACATGAGCTTTCTATAGCAAAGCTGTCAAATACTGCTTATGGTTATAGTTCTGTATTCAGCTTGTCTTTCCCTGCAGTATCTGTGAATGATTAGGGCAGAGCAAAGGTGTGAGACAGTTCAGGGCATTTTTCGGAGACAAAAGAAGCATTCAGGAGATAGCTATCAAAAGTCAGTTTTCTTCCAGAAAATCAAATTCTGATGCTGAAAATGTAGTGTTCCATGTTTGTTACGTTTGCAAAACCCCATCACTGTACTAGATTAATTCTTTGAAGTTGCTTAAAGTTCTATTCCTCTTGAAATGCTACTTTTAAAAAGAATTTTACTGTTTTAACGTTGATTTCTGAAGAAGTCCTAGTTGATTGATTCCATTTCAAATGTGAATATATGCCATATGGTCTTTGACCTCCCTCAATTTACACACCACTGTAGGACAGTCCAGTATATTATTTGTCATTTAAAATCCCACTGGTCATTGACTTGTTCAATATAGTGTAATAGTATCCAAAAAAAATTAACTACCTGTTCAGCTGCCTCTCTTTTAGCATTGTAAGTATCCAAATGTTCTTGAAGCTCCAGAACACTGAATTTCAATGTTTCTAGTAAACCACAGGACATCAACTGTAATACAAAAAGAATGTTTAAAAACCTTATTAATTAATCCCATGGGAAATATAATATGTACTTATTTACATTTTTAAACATTTGCTACAACCTGAGAATATCTACTAAGATTAATGAAGTAACTCTAAAGATTAAGGAAGTCGCCGGAATTGTTTATATAATACAAATTCTATCCTTTGTTAATATCAAATCTATAGCTCTGCCAGAAATAATTATTCTACATGGCACATGAAAACACAGAAGTGTACTTCTAAAAAAAAGAACTATCTAGATGAGATGCATCTCTTTGCTAAGTACTGTTACTAAAGAATTATCTGTTAAATGATACTAAAGAATTATCTGTTAAATGATGGATTAAAATATTTGCACGCCAAATATAAAGAATTCAATTCCTGTAATAATAACAATGCAAGATACTGAACTTGTATAGAAGCAAATACATAAAATGTTGATGTAATTTTTCTCTCTTGCAGATAATCACTCTGCACAACTGAAAGTTTGCAGATGCCATGTAAACAAGCTGATAGCACAGCATGGGCTTGTTTGGAGTGCTAATGAGTAGCTTGGCAATGCAATGCCTGAACTGGAAATATTGCTCTATCATTTATTTGCCAGTATTTCATTGCCCAAATGCAACTTCAGATGTGTATCTGCTTTATGAAGGACAAACCTATCATTACCCTGAAGGTTACTGGAGAGCAGACTGATCTAATGCCAACCATCACATGAGAAGAATCAAGACCCAGAAGTAATGAATAAGTAAAAGCTAGCTACTACATCCCCACCCCCCCTTGATTAAGGTACTTGTGCAAAGAATACCAAGTACTTTTGAACCTTTATTTTCTACATCCATTTACTTGGCATCAAGGGGCAATAATTTATGTCAAGAGAGATAGGGAGAAGACAAGTCTGTTGATTCTTTTGATTTCAAAAATCATGTGTTTCCAATAGAAGAGAATATTTGTAGCTCAGGATTCAACTGTGGAGTTCTTGATGCTCTCTCCAAATTTGGTTCTTGGCCTGGAGACATTTCATCATCCAGCTAGATAACCTCACCAGTGCTAGTGAATTGCTCTCTGCTTATATATAAAAGTTTGCCCTGCCAAGGTTGGTAGGGTGTGGTTTTCTCCTTGGTAGTTTCTTGATTAGGGTATTGTTTTCAGCTTGTTTGTCTGGTATAAATCTCTCTCTTAAAAGCAGGATTTTAATTCAAAAGAATCGAAATTAAGTACAGTGGTACTTCAGTACTCATCATTAATTGGTTCCAGGCGATGTGACAAATACTAAAAATGAGTATCAAACAAACCATGTGACCCTGGGGAGGACTTTTCCTATGTCAATGACCTTCCTGGCATGGCCAACTTCTTGTCTGTTCTCTGTGGCCAGCCCCTTCTTCCTATTACATGTTGAATACCAAATACACGACGAGTATAGGGGCAACATTTTTGCGTCAAAATACATTAAGTACCACATTTGATGAGCTTTGAAGCAGTTGCGTACCGAGGTACTACTAGATATTCAGATGATTGTGAAATGAAAAATCACAGCTGTCTTAATCTATCAAAGGAACACTAAATATCATAAGCAAACAGTAATAAATTCAATTTGCAGAAATTAATTGTAGTCCTCCACTTGCGTCTATCCATTCAGCAACTGTTGAAAGCTACAGTGGTGCTGAAAAAAAATGGAGGTATGACTGGTCCTCAAAGCTCCAGCTGTTGAAGCATCTCCATCAAACATGATCACCGTTTGCAACCATCTCTGCCAATTTCTCACAAGCAGTCATTGGGGAAGCTGGCAGGAAAACTTGTAGGTCACTTTTGGTAAGTTGGTCCTATTGTTTTTTCTACCACCTGCAGAATTCCCCCACCTGCACACATCTCTGCCGGCCCCCTCAAGGTCTTCAGTGACCTCCCCCTGCCCTCCATTGCCTGGGACTCCTGCCTCTTCCTGCTTAATGACCTGTGAAGTCTGGGGTTATGATGGCAACCTGGACTGCCATCGCTAAGTGACGCTGTCAGGTGATGTCACACTTTACAACTGCATCGCTTAGCAACGGCAATCCCAGCTCCAATTGCTGTTGTAGCTTGAGGATTATCTATAATCGTACGGGTACCATATTAAGGCTGTTTTTTATTTTATAATTTCCTTCCTTTCCAAAGTTCATAGGAAACTTTGCAGCCCAAACTGCATCTTACTTGAGCAAGAGTAATATTAACAGACTTGGGAGCAAAATCTTTCAAAAAATCTCTACTAGGAGGGAGGGGAAATTCCTGAACCAGTCAAAGATGGAATTGACCTACTGAGTAGAAGCCATAGAGGGATATTCTGCACAATAACATTTTGTTGCAATTCTACTTGTGAGAATGTTTATAGTTTTGGATAAAAAAATTGTGTAGCTTTTTGAGCTCTAAGCTGCTTGTGATATTATGGCTGAGAAAAACATGAAAATCTCAGAAGCAAAAAAAATTAATATTTCATTCTGAGTCCCCTTGGGGAAAAGGGCGGCATATAAATGTAATAAAATCAAATCAAAATCAATCAATTTACATTACAAAAACATAAATTACTAATTTTTGAAATATGTTTAATACTAAGGGAGTTAACAACTCAAAATTATTTAAAAAAATATTAGAACAGATAGAATTTTGAATACTAGAGAGGAAATTTGATCTGTGATCTCGAGAAAAGAAATATTTTTAGGGTGCTTACATATCATATCTCCATTTTAAACACTTTGTGTTGCAACTAATGATATTTATATATATATACTATATATTTGATAGGAAAATTTCTCGGAAATTCCAAAATAAAGAACATTTGTAGCTTACTAATAAGAGTCACTAAACAGAAAAGTTGGCATGTAGATATTAGATATTACCGTTTCAGCATCCACAAAAACAGTTGGGCATTCTGAATATGTTGTCATAACTTCCAATGAGCTTTTAAATTTTGTTCCAATTCGCTGCAGATTCTCACCCAGGAAACTGACTGATTCATGTGTTATGGCTCCAAATCTCCTCTGAATCACCTAAATACAGTAAAATAGTTTTTGCGTGTGGAAATTTTTTACAGGGTTTACTTATTTTATTGTAGATTCTTTTAATATTTATTCTCGGTTTAGCAGCCTAACCCTAAGCCTAAATTTTATTTTATTTTGCTTTGGAAGAAACATTTAAAAGAAATGAAAATTAGAATTGCACAAACTCTCCTCTTTTGCTCCCCTGCTGCAAATATTTTATTTGGGCAGGAGGCTGCCCTATTCTATCGTAACTGATGCTTTATACCTGAGACTAAATTCTCCTCTTCCATGTAACTCTGTCACATGAAAGTGAGAAGGGCAGGGGTTGGCTGCAACATCACACTGAGACCCTTTCTAAGAAATCTTCTACAAAATCTTGCAATGAGAAAAATCGACAAGTCAGTCTGAGTGTCATTCTAGACTGTGATTTTAGAAATGGATACTCTTCTAATGAACAGAAGAGTGGAGGAGAAAGGTTTCCTCTGTAATCCCCAGAATATAGAAACAGATGCGAAAATCCTCACCCTGAAATTGATCCTTGAGGGATGATAGATAGATAGATAGATAGATAGATAGATAGATAGATAGATAGATAGATAGATAGATAGATAGATAGATACCGTATTTTTCAGAGTATAAGACACACCTTTTTTCCTCAAAAAAGAGGCTGAAAATCTGGGTGCGACTTATACATTGAATACAGCATTTTTTCATTCCCGAAGCTCCGCCCCTTCACCAAAATGGCCATGCACAGCCTTATGGAGGCTTTCAGAGAGCTCCTTGGGGCTGGGGAGGGCAGAAATGAGCCAAACACGGGCCGTTTTTGCCCCCCCCCCAGCCCCCAGCAGCACTCTATAAGCCTCCGTAAGGCTATGCATGCAATTTTTTTGACCAAAAATGGGCTGTTTTTTGCTTGTTTTTGCCCACCCCCCACGAGCACTCTGCAAGTCCCCCCCACAAGGCTATTCATGCCTTTTTGGGGAAAAAGGGGGCCCATTTTCACAAAAAAACAGGCTGTTTTGGGGTTGTTTACAGAGTGCAAAAACTTTTTTTTTTAATTTGCCTCTTCAAAACTGTGGTGAGTCTTATATTCCAGTGCATCTTATA